GTATATATTTATATCTTGTGTGTATTGTATATATTTGTTCACCACTTATCTGTGTATGTGTGAGAACTAGTGATTCTAAGATTCAAAGGATAAGGTTCGGAGAGTGTGGCCTATTTACCATAATAAGTGTTTCCCTTTGGTGCACCTCCACTTATATCGACCAGTATCCTTAAAAATTTTTGTCTCGGGTGGGTCGTAGAAATGTATACAATTAGAACAGAAATATATTACAATCATCATGTCATCGTTGTTTTCGAAAGCCAAAAGAATTCCTCATGAAAGAACATCTTTTTTTCCTGGTTGTGGGATGGAGTAGAGTTGCTGCATCTTGAACAACCCACACTGATCTGAACAGAAAATGAAATGTTTTTATAGATATAAGAAATGAATTGAAAGTGAAAGTAAAAATGAAATTGTATTGGCTGGAAATATTTCTTGGCTGTTGAATGGGAAAAATATTTCCAGAGCAGAAAAAAAAAAAAAAAAAAAAAAAAAACTCTTCCTTTTTTTCTATTAATTTGATGTCTTCACTTTGTTTACTTTGGAATGGAGAAAACCCAAAGACCATGACTCATCCTTTCTAAAACATATAATTCCTAGAATGAGTCATGGTCTATTTTTAGAAACAGTGAGACAACATTCCCACACAAAAGGGGGGTAGGGTTAATTTTATCATGTCTAGTTAATTTTTATCATGTCTAGAAGACATGATAAAAATTAACAAAAAGTTTTTTTTTTTTTTTTTTTTTTTTTTACATCTCAGAATTTTTTTTCTGAGCTCTGAAAATTTTTTCCCAGTCGGCAACCAAGTGAAAAATTTCCAATCGGCTTTTACTTTCACTTTCAACTCTTTTCTATAAAAGCATTCCACGTTTTCTGTTCAGAACCGTGCGGGCTCTCCATGGTGCAACATGCTTTTTCTCTCTCTACCTCATCTGCAGCTAGGATGTTTTTCCTTCTTCAAGAAGTGGAATTCTTTGGGAATACCTTACAATTTCACGAGCTAGCTGTTTCTTATATTTCGAGGAGATTTCAATGAAATTGTTTATAGATGTCACCTATTGCAGATGGGGAAAAAGTCTATACTGGATCGCTGGAGACATCTCATCCAGATAGGTCACGTTATATTTTTTCCCACACCTAAATAAATTGGACATGAGCCATCCTTTTGTTTTCTCATCCAACAAAGATAGACACTGCAGACCGTTTTGGGTTTTCACTCTTCGCGAACCGAGACGAGCCGCAGCCGACACTTTGCGTTTTCTATGAGCGCAATAATGGATCACGTGAGCAGCCATTTTGTTTCCCATCTCACCCAGATAGGTCATGTTGTATTTTGTTTCATGCACCTAGCCAATTTTGGACATGAGCCATCCTTTTGTTTTTTTTTGTTTTTTTTTTTCTATCGAACCAAGATGGACTCTGGAGACAATTTTGTTTCTCAACGGAAAAGTAAATTTTCTGAATGGGTGCCGGTGTTCGAATACTTTTGTGACCGACTGTACGACCGCGAGACAACTTGTTTCTCAAAGAAAGTAAAAATCGATAGCGGTAACACCGTCAATATTTTTTTTTTCCCCAGTAACAGTAACACATCTATTCACCATTACCAAACACACTCACTACACACACACCTGTGAGACACACTATTTATTGTAACTAAAGACAGATTCTTCTCCTTTTAACTACACTCATGGATACAATCGTATTTTAGGATATTTTCTACTTCTTTTCATTTTCTTTCTATAGGCCCCCCTTTTTTTCACTATAATTTTTGCGCCATTTATTTTAAATTTTATTTTGTCCCATCTTTTCTTCCTGGCCTTTTGAACTCGTACAAAGTGTACGAAATTCCTTTTTACTCTCTTCAAATACGAAATTGCCCCCTTTTCTATATACCTTTCCTTCGCACCTATGCTTAATTTTTCGCCCATCGGTGCAGAAAGACTTAGCGGGTGCAAAACAAGGCATCTGTCTACTTTGTCTGTCTGCATATACTTTGAAAGTTATTCAGCAAGTGTCTGCTGCAGTGATGCTAATTGGCTGACAAGATCTTCAGCAGAATCAATCTCTGTTTCGTAAACAAGATCCACTGTCATTGTAATGCATGAAGTTTGCATTATCTATTTGTACAATTCATTTATAATAATTCTCAAATATCTTGCTGTAATCATAAACAATTACCAAGGACTTCAGTTTACTGAATTAAATTAAATAAATCATGAAGGAAATACTGCAAAATTTTCACTATCACATACTGTAAGTTGGAAACGATGTATATTTATGACAATTTAAATCAAAAATGAAACAAACTATTTTTAGTTTATTCTTATAGCATTTAAGCCCACTTTTATTAATTGCATACAGCATTATTTTATGACATCAGGAAATATTAATTTATTAAAATTTATTGAGACTTTTCAGTTCATAATGCATTATATATATATAAAATACTATAAAGATGGGGAAAAGTTTAATGCAAATTACTCTTTCCATTACATAATGCATGTAACTAAATATGTGTTTAAATACTACAAAATATATATCCTTCTAGGAGGTTTAATGAAATTTTTATATTTCTACTGCAGTTAAAAAATGAAATACAATACCATTGCATTTTGTTGAATTTTAAACAATTAAGACTTGAGAGCATCACCATGTCTAACAGCACACAAATTTATCACATACATATTTCTAAAAAGTTATTGTTATTTCTACTTCGTACAATAAATACACTCAAAAGTCGTTAATCCGAACTCGTCGGGACTTCCGCAATTCCGAATTATCGATTTTCCGGATTATAGATCATCAGTTTAAATCTTGTAAAATGGCATGCAGAAATTATAAAATTAAAAATATGATACCGTAATTTATGAAATAAAGAACAATTATGACCTAAAGGGTAGCAAAATTTACAAAAAAAAAAAAAAAGCTTAATATTTATTTGTTTATTTTATTAAACATTTCTTTCAATGTAAGTTGTTTAGGTTGCTTCGTTTTTTTATATGATAATACTTTCTCTTTAATTCTATAAACAGACATAATTTCTTGTTCAGTCACAAAGTTCCGCTGTTCAAGTCCTATAACTGCTGTGTCGAGAATACCGACTAATTTGTCAATCGAAATTTTTTCGTTTTCAATAAACTCTGCGTCACTTTCTCCGCTATCGGAAGCGAATTATAATGACGAGGAATTTGATTTAAATCATATCAAAGACGGATTACATCGAGATGAAATACTACATTTAGTAAGGAATTATAAGCCAAATAAAATAAAAATATCTGCCCTGAAGATAAGGATAGTGCTGACAGATCAACTTCCAGTTCATTGCGCGCAGCGACGTTTCCCCCCCACACGCAGAGCAGCGTGAAATTGATAAAGAGATTTCGGAATGGTTACATAAACAAAGGATATGCCTTTATCCATTTTTTGCAGCAATTCCACTTTTTGTTTAATGGACTTCGAAACATACTTTCGCTTTGTAGATCCTTTACATATTAGTAAATATAAATCAGAAATTCTATTTGACATAATCGAAAGTTCAAGCTTACTTTTATAAAATTGCTCTAACAGTCTGCAAAAAATAATAAGCCGGATCCAATTCGAAGATTAAGGAACAACGCAATCTGCAACATTAACTGAATCAGATAATTTTAGCTTAGCTTATACCGTCCGTTGTACATTAAACGCGCATTCGTAAGCGTATTTTGCGTATGCGCACACGCATATTCGCAACCGTAAAGGTCTTACGCGCATGCGTCAACGCGACGCATGCGCAGAAAGTTTGTAGCTTTGAGTTCCGGATTATAGATCATTCCGTATAATGAGTGTCCGAATTAACGCTTTTGACTGTACTAAAAATATTAAATGTGATATAAACTAAATATCAGACTGAGGCTACAAATGTCCCAGAACAAATATACTGCAAATATATTTAGTCTGAGGACTTAGGTCTGTTTAAGCCAGATATTTCTAGCAACTATGAAATAAAACTGCCACTCTATAAGCAAATTTAAAGTTCCTCTGAATTCAAATTACTATATGAATATGATATGAAAGCACACATTGACTTATTTTATTGCACTAGGATATGAAAGCACACATTGCAAGAAAGAAAGTACAAGAAAATGTTTATAGATTACTTGCAATCAATACGCATAAAATAAATACTAAAAAGTTATATAATAAACCATGTGTAAACATCGTAGAGTACAGAGAGGCATAAAAACGCAAATGAAAGCAGAAAATAAAGCATTAATTAAATGAAAACAGAAAATAAAGCATTAACTAAATATTTATAGGTGCAAGGCACTTATTTTTACATATATTATCAATATTTTATATTTTATTCAATTATGTGCTATTTCTAATTTAATACTCTTTGCTTGATAAGCAAAAAGCAAACATAATAATATTTTTCGAATACGTATTTCGATCTCCTGCTACGGATAATCCCTTAGCAGGGAAAAACTATCGCCCTGTCCTCCTAGAAGTACGTCATCGGACGACAACCATAACGTTGTCAACCATAATAAGCTGTTTCTCCCCGTTTTGGCGTTAAGCCTGTTCTCCATTCAACATATTGTTAACGTAGATTCACTTAGACAGCTTTCGGGCTTGAAGTTACGTGAACCTCTTCAAAATTCTAATTTAAAAAAATTACTACATCTGAAATAAGTTACTTGGTAAAATATTTCGAAACTTTCAACTATGCTCGATTTGGAGTAAAGCGTCAGCTTAGGTACCAAGGTGTATCAAACTTGGCCTTGATCAAACACCGTTCCACGGGGAAAGCTTCTTTTAGGAAACATAATTCTTCCATAATATTTTGATTCCCTAATTCTTCCATAATATTCAGATTTGAATAAAAGACAGGCAAAATTTTAAAACTGAAAGAATATTTATTTTCCTTTCTGATTAACTCAATTTCCAGATTCATTCTGCTGTTCAGTTAAGTAAGAGCTATTTGCAGACATTTGGTGTTAACTGTAATCGACAATTCTCGTAACTCTACGTTACGTCTTTTTCAAATATTATTCGTTTCAACGGTTTTCTTCAAGATTTTCGTAAAATTTAGGGATCGTTTTCCCCTGTAGCGATAGGAAAAGTGCTTATTTTTACGTACAATTTAAGAGCGTCGTTTCAACCAATACTTTAATTCGATAGGCTTACATTTAATTTGTGCGCTGGAGGGTGGAGAATGTCTAGAGTAAGTTAAATAATTTGTATCATACTCCGCATATACAGTTTTTGCACAAGTTAAAATATTCTGAATTAATTATTTCTTATATAAAATTTTCTGTTAATCCTGTTATGTACAAAGTTTTAATTATACTACATAATCCTTTTTTATTAACACCACATAGCCTTATCTAACGATATTAATTTGGTGTTTAGTCGTGCTCGTCGCATTTTTATTACTAAAATTTTTGAAGTTCTGTATTTTTCCTTTTTAACCCTAAAAATTGATGAGGAATAAGAGAATTGGTGTAAGAAATGCTTTTAAATTTTATGGAAGTATTTAGAAATCTGAAAGACGATGATTCTTTATTTCATTGAACAAGCAAATGTGTATTTTGCATACTGTTCTTGTGGGAAAAATCTATATGGTGCTAAGACAAGATTCAGGTTATATATTATTATTATTACCCGGAATTGCGTCGCCTGTGATGAGTGTTTATATTATAATTAAAGTAAAATGTACTCTGAAATGTTTTCGTTCTATAAATTTGTTTCTTAATTACTTATAGTTATGCATTTCGAGTGAATTTTAAATTTAAATTATAAAACGTATTATTTTGATTTGACATTACTTTCTTAGCATATGGTGAAATAGCTTAATTTTTAAAAGGCAGTAAATCTTCTGAAGCTTGATGTGCTTATATTTTTCCAAGAATGTTTAGTCTCAACAATAGGTTTGAAATGTAACAGTGCATTACATAAATATCTTCGTTCATCTGAAGAAAAAAGGTGTAACAAAATAACTCGTAATGAATTATTTTGTATAAAACTAACTGCAAATTAGCTAGCATATGTACTGCTTTTAAATGGAATACGAGTCCACATGGATTCTAAAATTTCTATAAGTCTGTTTATGCATTTTGGGCTAATTAGTTTTGGATTATTATAATATGAGCAAGTTGATTTAAGTCGATCATTAAAATATGATGTTGAAGCAAAATTAAGAAAACTGTTTATGCCAATTTTGCATAAAGTATCTTCTCGTCTATTTTTTTATAAAGCGGGAAATTTTCTCTTTTAAAAAATCAAAAATCATGAACAGAGCAAAATTACTTCACGAGAAATAACTTTGAAATGCAATAATTCCATTGTAATATGAAATAGTGGAAAAAAGTGCAATACAGTTTATTTATTCACAAATAATCCCCTAATATGCGTAATTTATGTACTGTCGATTGAGAAATATAGGTTAGTAAATTAAACCGGTTAATTCAATACTTTTCCTTTATCAATTTTTTTACCGGGCTCTTCAGTAAAGCGGTAAAGGTGGCTGAACACTTTGTAGCTCGCGGGATTTGAATCCCGGATAAATAGTTGGATTCATGGTTTTTGTGTAACGTAAATGCAAGCCAGCTTCTCTTAGAAAGTCCTCCGCGAAGACATAACTCCCTTATACAGGTAATCGTTGGGTGCTTTGATGTAATTCAGTAAGCGAACAAATTAATTCCAATCAATACCCGAAGAACGGGTTGATTACATGTGGAGTTTTCCACCAGGAATGTAAATGCGAGCAATTTTCTCTTAAAAAGGTTTACACGAAAGCATCCATCCCTTAAGCAGATAGCGTTCGCGTGCTTTTCGTAATCCAATCCTAATTTCTCATACATTTAAGTAGTAAGTTGACATACACCTTATTACAGACAAAATAACAACCTTTTTTAAAAGATTTTTTTTATTAACTTGTCTGAATTCCCTTTATCTCTTGAAGGAGTATAAGAATTTCAGCAAATAAAACTGGCCAAAATTTTATACAATGGTAACTGATGTTTTGATTCATTTAGAAGTAACGTGAGCTTTACTGATATTTAAATACTTTTTGGTAGATCTCATCCTGAAAGAGGGTCTAAAGATAAATTGATTTTATTTAATTTACAATAAATAAAAATCATTGAAAGAATGAAAATCACGAAAACTATTATGCATATAGTTCTCTTACTTATCTCCTAATAAATCAGACAAAATTGCCTACATAATAGAAGCACTTTGAAAGAGTTAACAGTTCTTAAGGGTTTTATGCACTCCTAAAAAAAAAAAAAAATGTCAAAATAAAATCTTATTATTCATAAGTATAAAAAGGAAGTAAACGAGTAAACGATAAAAGCGGTTTTACCTATTTTCTAGATGGGCATAAATCCAAAATTTTAATCTATTCTTATTTGCAGTAATTAAAAAGCATTAAATCTGGTAAGCTTAAAAAGCGTGTAAAATCGCTGACGTTTTAATCATAGCAAAAGTCAGTACTAAAAAAATTAGAGATGCCCTCTATTTGATTTTCAAGTATACTGGCACGAGACAAAACCTATGTTTTTGCCAAAATGTAGCCAAACTGATAAGAAGAGGGAAATAATACATAGCCAGCAGCTATTCTGAGCAGAGAAAATGGACCACCCAGAGATCTACAGATGGACGATTCTCTAAAATAGAGAGGGGATGGCTGGTACAACAGTTGCACCACAGCCAGCGTTAAAGAAAGTCATTTTTCCGGTACAACTGCTGTACCAGCCGGCTTTAGAAAGTTAACATGTTTATCCTTCCTATACTTTCTCTACGTTTCACTAGACACAAACATGGAAAATGTTAAAAATGTTTCTAAACGTATCACATGGATAGGCATTATATAAAGAATTTTTTTTATGGTACTATTCTGTTTTGAGGGCCGTAAAGAAATTGCAGTGAAAATGTATGCGCAAAAGCGTCATTGAAATACTAGTTTAATTTTTAAATCCTTTTTTGATATCCTATGGATTTAACAATTTGGGAATTGCCCATGATGAAAAGTTGGCAATAGAATTTTGGGTAAAGTGCAGAATCACCCACTGTTTCACGCATTTTTAAGAATTGCACATACTCGGTATAAATGTGCGCATCGACCTATTTTCACTTAAAATCCCAGGTTTGCACAAAAATGGCACTGCACACACCCTTGACTTTATCTATGTACACATCGACCTATTTTCACTTAAAAAGTAAAAGAAAATTGACAAAAATGCAATTGTTTTTACCCTATGGATTTAACAATTTAGCAAACTTGTCCAGTGACGAAAATTCTGTACATTTACCGAGAATTTTTGTCAAAGAAAAGTCCATCATTCATTATAGAAAATTATGTTTGAACAACGAACGAGATGGAATTATGCTTTAGCGATAACTCGGTGGAGAAATAGCAATGCAGGAATCCATTGAGTTATGTTTAGCCCTTTTTTGATATAAATTATAATAACGATCTGAAATAGTTATTTGCTCTTATGCTTCCATTCAGTCGTGTTTAGCATTTTTTATATAAATTATAATAATAAAAAAAGTATTATATGAAATTAACCTTTCATCTAAATTAAAACATCAATCTTAGATAGTTATTTACTATTACACTTCCTTTCTTGCCACAATTATTAGGGTTGACGCAATTATTTTTGGCAGCATTGGCATCAACAATAGTTTGGTGATTTTTTACGGCCCTCGAAACCAAATAGTACCTTTTTTATTAATAAAGCAAACATTTTCTTTGCATCTAGTGAGACTTATAATATAAAACAACTTATCACCTCTGGTGCATTAGTGGCTTGTTGGAAACCTTAAAATATATTAACTAGCTTACAATGCCAGGAACTCTACATGAAGCTATAACACTAACTGCGGCAGACAGAGCCCAACTATCAAAACTTCCCAAGCGTGCCTACATCACCCTTTCAGGTTCGTTCTGATCAGTAGATCTCTCTCTAGGCAAGCAGGAGCGATGACAACAGCCAGTCTTTTTTATGAATCATGCTGATTTAGATTTTACTTCTCATTTTAACCTAAGCCGCTTGACATAAAATCTACCTGCTATTTACGAGGGTTGGAACTTTAATGGTGGCAACACAGCTGAAAAAACGCTACGCTACAAAACCAAAGAATATCGCGTATACCACATGTGAACACTACATACCTACCTTACCTCTCAGCAAAAAGACTCATCCTGCCTACGTCATGCGCATGCGGAGTGACACGAAGAACGGATCCGTGTATTAGCTCGCGGTCTAAAGTAAGTGTTGTCAGGATGTTTTCAAAACAAGAGCACGATGTTGGATAAAAATTGAATGTCCCAGAGGTCGTACAGCACGACAGTGTCATCAAGGGCTTCAAGAGGCTTGCGGGGAATCTGCATTGCCTTACAGAATCGTAGCAAGATAGGTAAAAGCATTCAATGAAGGACGCCAAAACGTGGCAGACATGCTGCGGGCAGGTCATCCGAGTGTCAGCGATGCATACGTGCAAGCTGTTGCCGCACTAATGGACACCTGATCGCCACCAAACGATTCATCAGCTGGCCGGACAAACAGGATTAGCGTATACGACTGTGCTGCACATTCTGAAGGAACGCCTGTCCATGAGAAAAATTGCTTCACGATGGGTTCCACATCAATTGACAGAAATGCAGAAATGGCTACGATAGGATGCTGCCCGAACCCACCTGGAGCGCTATGAGCGCGAAGGAGATGCTTTTTTACGCCGTATCATTACGCTGGATGAGACTTGGGCCTGATCGTACCAGCGAGAACTGAAACGCTAGTCAAACGAATGGCATCATCATGGGTCACTACGACGTTCGAAATTTCGTCAGAACCCCAGCAATGTGAAAGTTATGGTGATTCTCGTGTATGACTGTGATGGTGTCATCCTAACGCATACCGTTCCCCCACAGCAGACCGTCTCTGCGCAGTATTACTGCTCATTTTTGAAGCACAATCTCCGACCAGCTTCGAGAAAAAAAATGGCGACACTTTCTGCAGAACGCTCTTCTCATTTTGCATGACAATGCTCGGCCGCATGCAGTGCAAGCTGTGACTGATTTGTTCAAGCGATGGGGCTGGGAAGTGCTTTACCATCCACCATACTCCCCAGATCTAAGCTCTTGTGAATATGACTTAATTCCTAAGATGAAGGAACCACTTCGTGGCACTCGCTTCCAAACCGTTCCTGAGATTCTTGCGGCAGTAGACCGGTCCATTCAAACTATCAACAAAAAAGGCTCTGCTACAGGTATTCTGCGACTTCCACATCATTGGAAATGGGTTGTACACAATGCTGGCAACTATTGAAGGACTGTAAAACTTGGTGACATGAATTTTGTATTTCTTGTAAATTAATAGATGCCACTCTTAAAGTTCCAAGCCTCTCATTAACCGTTTGACTGCTACTGCATTCATTTGTCTCTAAAACTGTGACTGCAAGTTTCAGTGTGTGTTTGTTGCTCCGTGGGTGTGAACGTAGTCTGACCTCACGCGTACTTTGTAACACGAGTGCATTCTAAAATAACTTTTTACCGTTTTTCTACATTATTTTAAAAAAATAACCATGTCACGGGCTATTATTTCGAAAGTTGATTCGATTGCTTGTGATTCTGAGGATGGTGCAAGAACAGATACAAGTAGTGATGATGGCATTATTATAACTCATCAAAGAAAAAGACTGAGGATTGAAAGAGAATCTTCTCATCTTCAGAAACAGAAGAAACACCAACTTTTACAAATATTCCTCCGACAAATGTGTTTTCCAAAGCAACAAATAATTTTGAGACTCCTTGACCTAGATGTGCGCCTCCCCCCGATGCTACACCCATAACATATTTCAATTTATTTTTTACATCACTGCTTGAAACCATCGTAAGGGAAACAAATCGATATGCTAACCATTTTTTTGCCTCGCATACTGTGTTGAATAATTCTGGAGCAAAAAAGTGGACGCCGACAACAATATATGAAATAAAAGCCTTTATTGCAGTCTTACTCAAAATGGGGATTATGAGAAGGTCAACAATTGAGAGTTATTGGATAAAAGGTTCCCAATATATACCGTGGTTTAGAACAATGTTTTCAAGGGATAGGTTTCAACTGATTTTGAAGTTTTTTCGCTTGATTGACAATACGTTATTATTTGAACCAGGCCATCCGAATTATGACCCACGTGGCAGGTTTGATATGTTTGTCAAACATGCAAATACTGTATTTCAGCGGCATTATTTGACAACATCAAGTCAAAATATGTCTCGCAGTTTTTGTGCGCTCTTGCAAGAATTGCTTAGCAGTCAAACTGTTAAACCTCTAGATTGAGAAAGTATGTGACAAAATGAGACATAAAAAAAATCAGTGTGAAGCTAAGGGTTAGTAAAATGAAAATGGCACTTATCTTCTTTCAAATATGCCCAACTATTATAAGTGTAAAATATTTAATGCTATTTGATAAATTTCACAAAGTTTATTTATTTTCAAACTTATTAATAATTTTATTAATTTATGTTTAATAATAATGCAGCCTACTTATTGATCTATTTTATTTTTAGGATGGTATTACAAAAGTGAAATTCAGGCATAGATAATATTTTTAACTGAAATTATTCAGTTCCCATTTGTTCATAGGTCCATCATTTTTTTCATTAATGGTCCTTAAAAGTACTAAATTACCGTATTCAGAAATGTGTACAAACCCTATAAAACATTTTAAGGTAAAAATATATTTATGGGTGCCCCTTTGCGGTACATGTACACTGAGTTTTTTTCAGTTCTTGTTATTTTGCCTTTGTGTATCAGTGATTTTTGCACAAAAATTGCCGCTACACAAATCCAAAATAACAAAGAATTGCACAAACTAGGCATTGTGCACTCCCTTGACTTTGTCCATGTATACATCTATATTCCCTTAAAAAGTCAAAGGAGCAGCCTACAAAAAATATATAATCTCAGTAATCTACATTTTAAATCAAGCAATGAAATAACATAAAAAAGGAAAGTCATCTTAGCACTACACAAAAGAAATATCTACTCACCTTATTTACGAATTTGCGTGTCTTCAGTCAAACAAAATTCCTTAACAGCATCCAAAAACTTAAAATTATCTGAATGAGAATCTGTATACTGGCGTCCCCACATAAATTTACAAAAATATCCTCCGTAGTGCCGGAATCGTCCGATGTTCGACCATATGCATTTCCTTCCTACAAGCAGGACACTTGATAATGGCTACTAAGTAAACCTTCATTTACACACCAGTCAATTAATGCTCTTTTCCCTTTCATTCTAAATCGTACAGAAACTTAAAATTTATCTTACCACATTCAACCATTTTACCGTATAAAAAAAAAAAAAAAAAAAAAAAAAAAAAAGTACTTCTTATCAAAAATCTGACACACACTATCCAAATCATTTCCTACCATTCAAATTAACCGCAGTCATGCAACCAATTATGTCATAATACGGTTTTCATAACATTTAACTACTCAAGTTGCCATAAATTAAACAAGGGCACCCTTAAATCTACTCTAACCCATTTTAAAAGTAATTTTCAACCTTATTTTAAAGGTAAAGCATTTTCGGTTAGTTGAAATACGTAGAAACAAAATGGGAAATTTTATTAGAAGAGCTATTTTCTTCAGAATCAAAATGTTGGGGGGGACATTGGTTTCATTCCACTTAGCATGTAATTTCTTTTTTTATCTGAAAGGCAAAGCATTTTTGTTCAGCTGAAACAATAAGAAAAGAAAATTTGAAAATTCTGACCAAAACTTAATTCAACAGTTGTTGCATTTTTGATTAGTTAATTTGTTGCTGTTTTATGCAAACTTCAGTGTTTTATTATGGATGTTTCGTGTAGTTTTGATTATATTAAGTCATTGCTGTAATTTTCAGTGTACTGAATTTTTTTTTAAATGGCTGCTGTTTGTCACATGTTTGGTTGGTAGCTTTGCGAGAAGATTGGGTTGATGATCAAAGACTACCAAACTTTTTACTACTGTCCTTTTTCAGAACTTCTGAAAATTTTTTTGGTCATTAATTTATAAATAAGCATTATTTTTTCATCTTAGAGCTCCAACGTAGAAAATCTCTCGCCACAAGTAATCCGACAGGTGTCTAAGGAGCTGTGGGAGTTGTCTTCAAACCCACCTGAAGGCATTAAAGTGTTCATTAATGAAGAAGACATTACAGATATTCAAGCTGCTATTGAAGGGCCAGGTTTGTAAAATATTACCAAAAGCCAAAATTTGATTTCGAGTATTGTTCAGATGACATTTGTGTATTTTATACGATTTTTTAATGCCAAATAGTCTAATTGCTTATTGAATTTAATATTTCGGCACTATTCTGTTTTGAGGACCGTAAAAAATTGCAACGAAAATGTATGCGCAAAAGCGCCAAATCTAGCAAACACATCCATTTAAACAATGCGCCAAATCTAGCGTAAGCGCTGATTTCAGATTGCGTAAGTTTATATATTCTATATTTCTTAAAACACTATTGAAATACTAGTTTAATATTTAAATCCTTTTTTAATATCCTGTGAATTTAACAATTAGGGAATTGCCCATGACAAAACGTCGGCAATAGAATTTTGAGTAAAGTGCAGAATCACCCACTGTTTCACGCGTTTTTAAGAATTGCACATACTCGGTGTCGATGGGCACATCAGCCTATTTTGACTTAAAAAAAATCCCAGAATTGCAAAAAAATGGAACTGCGCACAACCTTGGCTTTATCTAAGTACACATCGACCTATTTTCACTTAAAAACTGACAAAAATCCAATTGTTTTTACCCTTGTAAAAAGCAGCAACCAAATAAGTGAGCGATTCTGCACTTTACCAAGAATATTTTCAAAGAATAGGCATCATTCATTATAGACAATTGCGTTTGAACAACCAACGAGATGAAATTATGCTTTAGCGATAAGTCGGTAGCGAAATAGCGATGCAGGCATCCATTCAGTTATGTTTAGCAATTTTTATATAAATTATAATAATGATCTGAAATAGTTATTTACTCTTATGCTTCCATTCAGTCGTGTTTAGACTTTTTAATATAAATTATAATAATAAAAAAGTATTATATGAAATTAACCTTTCATCTAAATTAAAACATCAATCTTAGATAGTTATTTACTATTATACTTCCTTTCTTGCCGCAATTATTAGGGTTGGCGCAATTATTTTTGGCAGCATTGGCATCAACAATAGTTTGGCGATTTTTTACAGCCCTCGAAACCAAATAGTACCAATATTTCTTCTAATTGCTTTATTTTTTTGAAGTTTTACCTATTCCTTTCTTTAACAAAAATTTAGAGAAAATTTGTAAGTCAGTCTTATTTTTATTTAATTATTTTACAGTTATGAATCTGCTTTTATCTTAGTGTTTAGTTGGTATCAGCATTGTTATTCAGAAAATACATATACTGATATCTGTATTTTTATAACTTAATCTTGTTTTATGTTAATATTACTAGAAATGTGCAAGTCTGAGAAAATTTTGTTTTTAACAGGGCTGTGGAGTCGGTAGGGAAAATGTCCGACTCCTGGAATTTTAAAGACTCCTTCATATATTTATATGTAAACATATACACATGGGCTACAGCTTATTTTTTTAATATAAAAGAAGTAATACATGCTACAGGAAAAAAAATGAAGGCATAGCAAATTATTTATATTCATTAGCATTTAATATGAAATGGAAAAACTGGCATTAGTGATTTCTAAGAAACAGTATAGCTGCCGCAAGATCTTCTTTGTTGGAGGGCCATAGATCCGATTTGATAAACTTCAGAACTGAGAAGAGTCTTTTCACGCTAACTCCAGTTGCTCTGAGGATAATTTCATTCTTAATGAATAGGAGGCTTTCTTTGCCTTTTTAATTTGTTCGTCATCCAAGAAAATTCGGTGTTTTAGATCTACATATATTGAACCCAGTGCAAGAATCTTCATTGTCTAAGCAAACCAGTTTCTCATTTCTTGCATTGAAAGAAATGATTCCTTCTGCAATAAACCCTCCATTTCAGAAAGAACAAACATCCCATTCTTCCATTCTCGCCTCTTGTGAATTCTTCAGATTGCAGCTTTTTAGTGGCTATATACGGTATAGAAAAAAAAAAAAAAAAGATTCCAATTCTGCAAGATCATTCCACAGTCTTTCTGTTAGTGGTGAAACATTAGGGTTTGTCTACATCTTCTAAAGAAGTTCTTAATTCTAAAAACCTCTTTATCATCAAATATGTACTTCCTTATCATGTTGCTTGATCAACAATTGCTCCTTTTCGTGCTCGCTCCTAAGAATGGCATGAATTTATGAGTTCTTGCTGCTGTTGCTGCTTACCTAAATTTACCAGTGAGATTTGTAACTAAATGAATCAGTTTAATCACTTATGGCAAATATCACATCCATCCTCCTCCTTTATATTTATTTATTAATATATCAATAAAATAGAAAATAACTATTTATTAATGTATATAGTTCATAAATAAAAATAATAACTCGGCATGTCATTATTTTTTTTCAATTCATTTTAACCCTTTCGCAATGGCGCACCTTTGTTTAAGACGCTCGTGTGAGACGGAAAAGAATCGAAAGCAGTCGCCGAACAGGACGGAGGTTTTGCATTGCTAAGCCTATTTCTATAAAAAAAATCAAGGAAAAAAAAGTTTCACTTCTAGCATCGTAATATTTGGTATCATTTTCGATTATTACTTGAGCCCTTATATATGTTAAAATTAGCACTTAATAGCCTTTTTTTTTTATCTTACATGAAAATTTACTTAAAAATTTGCTTATCTTGTAAAATAACTTTTGGAAGTGCTATTCAAATTATTCCAAAGTTTTCATTCATAAAATCCATCAATAAAGTTTAAAATTAATAAAACAACACAATAAAGACTATTTACAGTAAGAAGTAACAAAATTTACTATGAAGACTGTGGTAAATTTCGAAGAACGGAGAAGTATTATTTTCTAACTCTTTAGAAAATGAATCATCACTCTCATCTGCATTAGTAAATGGTTCATTAACCCTCTAAGCGGCAAGGCCGTATATATACAGCCTAGAATATTTTTTGTGATATCTGTAAGAATGTATATATACGTGCATATTAAAATATGTCAAAGAAATTAAGGCAATATATCAAAAGAAAACAAATCCAAGTATGAAATACTGTTATGTAGAGAAATTATCTGATAGCGTTATAAAAATTAGGTGAATGATTTTATGATTTATGGAAATCTTAATTTTTATTTGATTATGAATTATTTATTTTAAGGCTTTAATTTGGGAAAAACAGATGCTTCTGGAAATATTATTTAGTTTAAATGAATATTATTTATTTCTTTTATTTGCAAATCTTGTACAAACTTTTATTCATTGTGAAAGAAGCAGGGAAAGGGAGGCAATTTTTTGCCAAGTCATGATTTCGCGCGCTTTGTCCTTTGGAATGTTCGAGAAAGAATTTTCATTGTTAGTTGACCTTAAGAGAGGAAAGTATGTGACAGAAAGGTCAAAGGTTGCTACTTGTCTTTCAATGTAAGTCATTCAGGTTTTTGGCGATTGAGGGTCCGGTTGTTGGCTAAGTGAAGAAGGGCGCACATGCGCGATCACCCTTATTTCCGCATTCAGGGGTTGAAACGCAAGATTTTGTCCATAATTAAGGGGGCGATAAGTGAAGCAATTAGTGGGAGCCCTGCGTTGTGAAGGAGACGAAGGAAATTCGAGTTGGATTCACACTTACTTTTTGACTGACTCTCGGACTGACTCGCTGATTTTCGGGCTTGCTGGACAAAAATGTAATTACGAAGAGAGATGTTTTCCGGCCGCGTTTGGTTAAGAGGCGAGACTCACTTACTCTTGGACTCGCTGATTTTCGGGCTTGCTGGACTTGTGGACGTTGCTCTTGAAAACTGGCTTGAAGGAAATTCGAGTTGGATTCTCTCTCTTACTGACTGGCGGGTGGAACTGACTTGGGACGTTACTCGTGAAGCTTGCTCTTGGGATGAGTAAGAACAGGCGAGCCGTAATTGCCTAGAAAAAAACGTTTCTGACCTGAAGCTGAAAACCCTCTTCCTTGCGGCGTGCTGGTAAGAGGCGAAATTTGAACGAGTTATCTGCGTGTTGACATAGGACTTTCAGGACCAAGCGGATAGCCGTCCTGGGCAGCAGTGCTCCTGTTTCTGTTCTACAGTGGGAATTGGCGCCCACATTTTTAGAACCAGTGTCAAGATGAGCCCGGCCGACATCAACGCTTGATAAGATACGAGTCCTCCACGGCAAGATGTCCCCTCAAGATAAGTTTTATTTTTTTTGGTGTGTTTGAACTTTAGGCAAGTTTTTCAAAAACGTCCTTAGCAGTAAAAACAACGTTGAATCTAAAATTTAACTCTCAGGCCTTAAATTGTTTCCCTTTCCTTTGTTTTAAATTACCAGACAAACCCTAAGTTTTTTTATGAATTTAAATGAAAAGACTCTCAGATGAGGTTAAGATTTTTCTTATTGTGATGTAATTGAATAAACTGATATTTAATCTGGAACCTCTTATAGTATGTTTTCTTTATATATTTAATATGTTTTTCCTATATTTCTTGTATATGTTTTTCTTATGTTTCGATCCTCTCACAGCGCGGTCCCGGGATGCATTTTGTTTCACAACGCAAAAATGCTGTACACGTTTCACTATACGATCACTACCTTTCACGGCAAGTAGTTTCATATTTAACATTTAACATATAGGAATTTCAGATATAACATGGTACCCTGAAGTAAAGCTATTTAACCTTGGTGTCGAAACATTCTTATAACATTGGTGCCGTGAAGTAAGATTCATAACTTTATTTCCCGGCGTGAACTTAAGCAATTTAACATTTGGTGCCGTGACCTCTGCTTAGTGAAGGATCGAATCAGTAATTGATTTTGAATTTACCTATTTTTAGTAATTTACTGTTTTAATGAGGTTGTTAATACTAGAAGATAAATTTTGAGAATTTGTGTGAATTTCAGGAATTTTGGACTTTAACGTTAGGCAAACAGAATTGAACTTTAAAATTAGGAAAAATATATTTTTTAATGTAGCAGAGTAGGTACTGTACGTTCTTACTGTTGAAAATCCTTGAGTGTTTTCTAGATGTGTATTTTTGATTTTCGACGTACTGATTTATGATACAAGATGGAAAATGAATTATTTCACGATAATCCTATGCTATTTGTAT